GTTGTTGCGGAAGCCAAATGTATATAGTGTGAATAAGTCACAACTACTATACCAAAAATTATGACAGCCACCAAATAATAAATAAGACAATAAAGCAACAATAAAGGGAACACCAGAATTTACGAGGTTCGGCTAATTTTGCCTACTCCTCGGACACAACCAATATTTTATTTCACTCCAAAAATACAAGTGAAATAATACTAAAGAGAGAAGATACAAATGCCTTAAACAGATGAGAAGGTAAATGAGAGGTGTATTTAAATCCTAAACATTAGGCCTTCTTTTATAGGGGGGAAATCCCCCCAAAACTCAAGAGCCCACCGATGTGGGACAAAATTTTGCCAAATTCAACAAATATATGGTCCTACAAGAGTGTGGTTCTGCCTTTCATCTGGGCCCGCAAATTGATGATGAAGCATTTCTTAATAGTTGATGATACTTCTGAAAATATTGTCTGATCACTGGTCAATAATGTAATTAGGCAATGGATGGTTTGGACGACTAATGTGGGACTTGAATTTGCATGGATTGTCCTTTTTTATGTGCCGGAGATAGTCATCCCTTCTAATTCGTGTATCTTTATCCTGAATTATTTGCAGATGTGGACAAAGCTTCATGAAGTTGGCAGTGAAATGATTTCTCTTTCAAGGAGCCTTTCAGACATATCAAGGGCTTCTTTCCAAGCTCAGGTATATGATTTCTTGCTAACTCTTGGTTCATTGAGTTGCTTCTTTCTTTTGCATACACTGCTGGTAAAACTGACTGATTTTGACCTCTTACCTCTTTAGGTGAGCTGTTCAATGCGTGGAATTACTGAGGATGGAAAAGATGAGGCAAGTCTTCTTTACTGTCATGCTTTAGTGTTTCTGTTTTTAGTGGTAGATTATTCTGTGAGGTCATTTTGGTTGCTCTTCAGTCAGCTGCTTGGAGGAGAAACTGCATTTGAAAACTGTACCTGAAAATTTCTAATTCCTTATTGTTCTGTTAGCGTAAAATTTCTCACTCAATGTAATACCTCCCAATTTCGGAAATTTGGTGGCACATACCTGCCAGCCACCAAGTACTTGCAGTTATTCCAGATTTCTTGGGGAACCACTCAGGCAAACAATGTTACGAAGCTCCTAAAAGTGGTGTTGCAAGCCCTTTGTGGGGAGATATAGGTACCGACCAAATATAATGCTCACCGAACCCGATGGTGTGGTCTTGTAGTCAAAATGAACTGGGTGCATGCCTTGGAGACCAGGGTTCAAATCCCAGCAATGACAAAAAAACACTCGGTGATTCATTGCCATGTGTCTAAGCCTTGGTGCTGAGTTGCTTGGTACTTATGTTGGTGGGAGATAGTAGATAGTGGCGGAATAGTCGAGTTATGCATAAGCTGGTCTGGGCACCACCATTGTTAAAATTAAAAAGTTCATATATACTTATTTTGCTTTTCTTTTCAGTCCTTTGAGGTTCACATCCTTGGAATTATTCACTTAGTTTAAATATGAAATTATAATTAAAAATTCTTGCTTTTGTCAAGACTCAGTGCTGCAATTTTGATATAAATTGACTGACGAAAAATCACCAAAATTCCAAGGCATTGAAACTGATTTATATGTTTTAAAGTATTATAAACTTCAGGTTAGTATATTTTCTTTTCTTTTTGATGTTGACAGTTGGTTGCTAAAATGGAGCAAGCAGAGATCTCTGGTGTAAATAAAAGGTGTGCTTGCCAATGTTGTGGGGAGAAGGCGGATGGTAGAGATAGTTTAGCTTGTGATTCATGTGAGGAGATTTACCACGTCTGCTGTGTTGAGCCTACTGTGAAAGAAATTCCACTAAAAAGTTGGTACTGTGCCAAATGTACTGCAAAGGGAATTGAATCACCGCATGACAACTGTGTCGTATGCGAAAGACTCAGCGCCTCTAGATCAGTGATAATTGAAGATGGGGTTGAAGAATCTACAACTGAAGACATGCTTCTGGAATTGGAGGAGAGCTTAAATGGTTTAGTGGATGATGAACTTAAACTATGTAAAGGAGTTGAGGATCTGCCCTGTTGCAACATATGTAGAACTGAGGTGGGAAGTAATGGAAACTATAAAATATGTGGCCATTCCTTCTGCCCTCACAAATTTTACCATGAGAGGTGCTTGACTAAAAAGCAGTTGGATACTTATGGCTCCTGCTGGTACTGTCCGTCGTGTCTGTGTAGAGCTTGCCTTAAAGACTGTGATGATGACAAAATTGTACTTTGTGACGGCTGTGATCATGCTTATCATATTTTCTGCATGCAGCCACCACGCACTTCAATTCCTAGAGGGAAATGGTTTTGCAGAAAATGTGACATGCAGATACAGCGTATACGCAAAGCAAAAAGGACATATGAGACTAGGCAAAATGAATTGAAAAAGAGAACTGAACAATGTGGAAGATTAGGTGTACCAAAAGGTAAGGATGAGGAAGCTTTAAACAAATCTGGTGGTGTGGAAATGCTTCTAAATGCTGCCAAAACTCTCAACTACCAGGAGGATTTAGCTGCTTTTGGATCGAAGGACCAATAGAACTTAGATTATGCATGAGTTACGGTAGCTCTGTAGACGACGGATGTTGTTCCAGAGTAGTTGTCAGTGGTACATGACCTGGTTGCTGGATCTTTGTGGCCTGTAACAATGACACAAGTCTTGAACTGACTCTCAGATTTTGGTAGCATAGAATTTTGTCTAACTGATAGTCCTAACAGAACAGCCATGCCTGAAATGTTTCAGATTGTATTTTTGGTACATATTCTTTCTGGGATAATCAGCAACTGATGTTCCATGTGTTGTAAAATGAGAGGAGCATAAGGATTAGCCTGTTTTCCGAATATCAAAGTGAAGTAATCTGTCGTGATCTGTTGTATAAGCCATTGCTGCATTGACTGTATCAAGTTAAATTTCTTAGCATTAGCTTGGTTTTTTCTATATTAAGTAAAAGTGCGGATATATCAGCCTTTTTATGTTGGTGCTTCACTGATCTTCATGTCACAAGGTGTTAAAATTGGTAGGGTAGTTCTTCATTTGAAGCCTTTTGTAAAAATGCACGTTACACTTGATTTTTCAACTCCAAAGTAAAGCAAAAAAGAACAAAGATACAGTTGGTTATCAAAAAAGAAGCAAACTCCTTCAGTGGCAAGGAACTTTGAAATGCTATTGTAAACGTAATAATGTCAGTCGTTTGATTTACTCAACAGAAAGTATTGATTTACTAATCTGAATTCTCTTACTAAAAACAGAACCATGAAGTAACTCTAGATTAGAGGTCAAAAGACTACATAGTAACTCTACATCAGTATTATGGGCAGACATTTCACTGTGGGGCATCAAGTTTTATCTTTGTAAACAACCTTCTGAATTCTCTCCTTGCTGACAAGCACACATATAGACAACTCTTTCTGTTGCTGTACCAGTATTTTAAGCAACAATAACTTGAAGTCAGATGTGGGGGTCAAGTGCCCATCATTATGGAGGCAGTACATATTCCCTAGCCTCCAGTGTTTTACCTCTACTTTTTCAAACCTTCAACCGCTCTCAGATTTGTCTACTACAGCAAAACGGTTTTGGTTCATGCTCAAACCTGATGTCTGTAACTGTTTTCTCCTCTGAATATGATGCAAGGCCGCTTGTCGGTCAGTACGCACCTCAGCAGAATCCGGCTGCAAAACAAGTCTGATTCACTTAGGTGCATAAATTAGTAGACTTACCACGTGAACATCAAATACAGAGGCAGTGACATGCTTAGCACAATATTTCAATGAACATTTCAGAACTAGGATCTGACATTAGTTAGCATGATAAATAGAGTTTGGCACTTGCTAAAATCTCAGAAGACAGTTGTTCTCCAGATACAAAAGAAATGTTGACATTGGGGTATTGCATATAAAGCAGAAAATATGCATTTATTCATGAAGCCTCAAAGAAACATCTCCAGTGAAAAAGGATCCCTAGAGGCAGCAGGCATGAGCGTTAGAAATAGATCTAAGCTATACCTTGATGGCTAGTGCTCTGTCTAAGCTTTCGATAGCACTGTCAGGCTCGCCATAATTCAGCTGTGCTCTACCAAGGGTGATCCACGCCTGCAACAAACAGAGGAACTAGTAATAAGAACTAGAATAAAAGGCAATGTCCATTCTACAGATAGTTGAACTTGACTGTTTCCTAAGAATCAGAATGCTGTTAATCGCTTTTCAGTCAAAGCTTCTTATACCAAAAGCTGTAAATAGTTTGGATGTAAGAAATGTAAGAGAAAAGGAGCCTGTGACTTTCACTTGGTCATGCCATATAGCTCTAAGCTTAATTATGCATGCAAGTAAGACCAGGAAACTCAGAAGTGCAAAGCTGCTTCGACATGCATGAGGTAGCTTGTCAAATTACCAAGAGAAGACAAAGAAGCATCACATTCTCTTGGTCTAGGGGACAGATGCAGGAAGAGGTATAACAGACGAGGAAGTAACGTGCATGTCGGGTGAATAACTAAAGCAGAAAGTCAGGGGACGTTTGTATATCAAAACTAGCACATGACGCTCATAGCTAGTTAAAATTTGCAAATTATTCTTAAAAGTATTGAAACTGAACAGAGCACAGATAAAAATCAGTGTTCCATTTTTCTTAAGGATCATATGATATAGGCAAAGGTGGTGTGGGTTCCAATTACTATAGTGCATTGTGAGTTGATTTTGCATCCCTAAAGCAGGTATATTTGCAAAAGGTGAAGCAATAGCAGAAAACGAATGACAACAATTTCACACACCTCAGCCCAGCTTGGTTCCAACTCAGTTGCACCTGCTCAAAAAGGAAGCAAGTTATACATGTGTCATGAGATTATATCATCAAAAGTTATTTTATTTTATATGCAAATGCAGATCACTGACTTAAAGGACATTAGTCACAATCCAAGTAGGCTAGAAACCCAACTTCGAATATCGCTATGCCAGATATAGATTTACAACGGGAAAGATGTGGAAAAGAAAATTAGCCCATGCTAATGAAAAGGATAAAAGAAGATGGACTTAAACGTAATCTAGGTTCCCATTGGCTGGTATCAAGATCAGATTTCAAACAATATATTTGTGTGATTTACCCATAACTTTAAAGATGGGTCAAAAAGTTGGCATTAAGGAACTTCAGAGCCTAAAAGTAGGTCCAGTAACCTTTCATGAGATATAACATTGAAAATAATCCATTAAAATTTAAAAGAATGTCCATAAATTGGCATTATCTCACTCAGAATAACTTGCTCAGAAAACAAGGAGAATCCATTTGAGAATAATGTAAGAAGTTTCAAAACATACGAGTAGCAGCTTTTAGTGCATTCCATGTTTCTCCGAGTTCAAGCAAAATTTGAGCCTTCTGTTCATGCAGAATTGCACGATCTGGCATCAAAAGTATAGCAGCTTCCCACTTCCCAAGTGCTTCACGATATTTCCCATCCTTAAAAAAATTACAATAATAATAAGAATTAAAAGTCTTAACCCTAGTTGAGGGATCATGCTGCCGGAAATGATATCAGCAATTAATGAAGTGTTGGAAAACACTTATTCAGTGCAGAGGCTATTTTTACAACTTACTTTCAACTTTAGGGCCACCATGCAATAAACTTGGAATTGCGTTTAGCCTCAGCTATAAGTGTTAATGCATAATGTACACAGTACAACCTCACCTCCACACAAGAATCTGTAAGAACTGCTTTCTGCAGTGGATTTTCCACTGTACTTAGACTTGCCTTTAAGTGCTAATGCAAAATATAGTACAAATCCAGGTCACTTCATACTCAACTTACCACTGCTAGTTTCAAGACTCAACTCTTCACTTCAATTCACCCTCTTACAGTAAGCTTACTGTCGTGCTGAAGCTCACTTTTAAGTGGCGCAATATAACAATTCTGCAAATAACCTTGTTTTTCACATGGCAAGACAGTTATTACTACAACAACAAACCCAGTATAAGGGGTCTGGGGAGGGTAGTGTGTATGTTTGACCTCCAACTCACAACTTCAAACTTAACGTTATACTTGATGCAATGACCTTCTAAGTGTTTTTTTAAGGTAAATGGGAGGTTATCAAAATCCAGGGTCACGGCATGCCCCTCAACAAGGACTTTACATTGGATCTATAAAGTGTCCAGCAAAATGGAATGTTCACGGCAGGAGTTCAATAGACAGACACTCCAATTATGTCCAGTAATCAGACGAAACTTAAAACTAACAACATGCCCTGCCTTACCCCCTGGAGTTCCTAAGAAAATATAGAGTTCCAACTGCTAAAAGAGAGAAAGAGGGAGAGACAAAGATGGGAAGAAGGGAATAAAGAGAGGGGATGATAATGCACCCAAGGGTGTAGCTTAGCAGTTGAGGAGCTAACGAAGACCATTTTTTTTTGATTTGCACTGGGTGTCCGAGTCTCTAAGAGCCCCGACTAATCCCGGGGGTGCACAGGCCTTCGGCAAGGAGTTTCCCGCTAGTGCACCACGGTTAATTCAGGTTTTACCCAGTCCGATGGCCCTCAGAAATTGTTTGCACCCAGTGAGTTTCGAACTTGAGACCTTGAAAGGGAGCAAACCCCAAGGCTAACGAAGACCATTCTGAGGCGAAAAGCTTGGAGATTTCTTTCCATTACCTAAGCCTTGGTGGGAAGACATGTATTCAAGGTGCATCTAAATTACACCACCATGATCAAAAGGAGGATGGGATTGGGAATACCTATTCAATTCTAAAATATTCAAGTATGTTAAACGACGAAAACTTAGAACAATTGGAATAACTAATACTCCATTAGAATAGTATTAGATAAAAACCTCATCTCTAACATTAAAATAATCTTCATTCTTATTCCAACTAATAGACATATATAGATAACTAACATCACCTGATAATCATATCATTTAACAGCAATCTGCAAAATCTAATCCCAACAAACAATTTTCAACTATTCCACAAATTCAACTTTCACATCAACACACATAATTGTATTCAAATAATAGAAATAACAAGTTCAGCTATAGGCACTGAATAAACTAAAAAAAAGGTGAAGGAAGTCGGTCACCCAAGTAAAGAAATACCTCAGCAAGCTTATTTCCTAGTTCTTGAAAGGATTCGACAAGCTTTATTGTATCATCGTCATCTCCATTAGAATGAGAAATTAAGTCACTCTCTTCGTTTTTAGGAACAGTGAAATCGTGAGTAGGAATTTCAACTTCGAAAGGGAGGTTTTGGGAAAGAGGAGTAATGGGTCTCTTATTATTAGGTTTCTTTTTGCTCCATGTCATCTTCATCTTGGTCTTATATCGAGTTGATTCTCTGTTTAGCTTGCCGCTGAAGAAGAAGAAGAGGTGAATTTTAAGCAATTTAATTTAAAGGAAGGTATCAAAGTGACACGATTGGAAAAATTGACTTTTGAATCTGGTTTATTGGTCCATTTGTCCAGAGTCCAGACTTTCAGCTGTTACATAAAATGCAGAGTATCCACTAAAATGCCCAATATAGCCCAAGCTAATGTAAAAATTACACGGGGCGCCCTATTTGGTCGTCCCATTTAACCTATACCCATTTTTTTTAAAACTTTCAACTTGTACTCATTTTTTGAATAACTTCAGCTCCCTTTTTCCTCCTCCTTCTCCTCCTTCATTTTCTTCTTCTTCTTCTTTAGGGGCTCTCATTCTTATTCAATTTTAGAACAATATAAAAACCTACGATTTTGGCATCATTGAAATTTCCAAGTTCGCTGTTATTCCTCAATTGACCGGTTAGATGATGGCCGGTGAATAGTGATAAAATTGCATTTGCTCTTTCTGTGTGATTAAATGTGTCGTTTAAAAAACTAATAGTACTACCTAATGATTGTTTCTTTAGAAAAAAAGAATGATGAGCAATGAAGAAGCAGTTAAGTTTCCCTCATATTGATCCTAATTCATGCTATGCCGTGTGTTGCGAATAGCTAACGAGCATCTTCTTACTGCCCAGATTGCTCAGAAATGCTTAACAACAATGGACAAAATGCTATGCATGTTGCTATATTGAACACTTTATAGCTGAAATTTCCCTGTTACAAAGACAAAAACTTCAGCTTTGTAATTGGAAACTTCAGCTCTAGTATGTAATATTAATAGGTGGTAAAAAAACTTCAGCTCTAAAGCTGAAATTTCCCAGTTACAACACAAAAACGTCAGCTCTAGAGCTGAAGTTTTTGTGTTGTAACTGGAAACTTCAGCTTTAGTATGTAATATTAATAGGTGGTAAAAAAGAGCTGAAGTTTCCCAGTTACAACACAAAAACTTCAGCTTTAGAGCTAAATTTCAGGCCCGCTACTAGAATGTTGAAGTTTTGCGTGATTGCCTTTGCTACTTCAGCCCCGTATGCTGAAGTTATGCGAAAAAGCGGATACGTTTGCAATTTTTTTTACAAAGCGGACAGAAGTTAAAATGTGACACAAAAAACGAGTATAGATGCAAATGCCCCAAGCTAATGAACTTCACCCAACAATTATAGTAAAAACTATTTTCGTCATTAACTTAATTGAATTTCTCACTCTAACAGCAGTCATTAAAATATATCTTTTCGTTTAAAATTAGTTAAATTTTACCTACTATAACAGTAAAGCCATAAAATTTTATTGATAACAAAAAAATTATCTTCATGGGTTGGTTATGACTTGTGATATTATCATAGGTAAGTTTTAGTTACTGTATAGTGGATAAAGTTGGTTAATTTATTATAATAAAATATAGCTTTGTTATTTTGTTACTGTGGGTAATGTTTGCTGCCTCTACTATTAGTTGAATTATTTTAATGTGACAATACAATTATTTGACAAGCTTAAACTCGCTCTCTATTCATCGCATGCTTGCATTGCACCTACATGTTGTATCAATTATTACAAAATTAGTGAATTCGTTCACAATTGGGACGATGGTAAAGTACTCTGTTTAATTTACAAAAAGATTAAACGAAGTATATACCCTAGTGTTTTATTCTAATTATTGCTTCCTTTCCGTACTTTGTTTATTGATTTGAGTTGGCCTTTAACAGATTCCCAATTTGAGTGCTGGAAACTCCTTCCACCAAATACACATTGACGTCGTGGTATAACTCCATATATAGACTTTATTCACCTTACTTTTTTGTTGTTTGAATGCTAATTCGTGCGATATTTGAGATTAATTGAGTTTATTTTACGTGTAAAAATATTTGAATATGAAGTGGAGAAAAGTTGCGCGAAATGGTACCTCGAAATTACAAAATAGCGCATAAAAAGAAGACATTGCAAGACCATGAAAAGTCACAGCCTTAAACAATGCAAGGCTTTGTCCAGAACATTAACTTTGGCGCCCCTGATGATGCAAGGCCGCATAGTATTGGCACTTCTGATGGTGCCTTGCACTATTATTTTGGCGCCTTTGACGATGTCCTCGTGCCGACGATGCTTATCCGAGCCACTTTGATTTTCTCCTTAATTTTGGACGTGTACACTTTAGCCCTACCATATAAATACCTCTTAAAGTTAGTTTTTAGAGGGCGAGACTTTATTGGAGAGGCAGAAATCTACGGAACACTTGGAAGCAATGAATCACCAAAGTTTTCTCTTCGCTCTTCTTTAATCTGTAATTTAATACTTTCAAATATTATTATGATTGTTTATACAATTATGAGTAGCTAAAATCTCTTATCTAGGGTTTGATGGAACCTATTGGAGGATAATTTTCCACTGTGTTTAATAAAAAATTTGCCATTTACTTTTCTCTACTTGTTCAACTACGTTTTCATTGTCGTTGATTGAAGAGCTCTCAATTGACTGTGCCTATTTAGTGTGTATTGCTTGGAAAATGGTATACATTTAGGCAGTTGTTGAACAACATCACATATATGGGGAATCAATGGAGAGTTTAAAGGTGGAGTAGGAATAATGAAACCTTAGTGCGATCTTAATCAACGGTAAACTAGTGCCAGCTAGCGTAGTTCGGACGAATACATCTAGTAAATTATGGTAATTGCTCGGAAGAGAATTGCGATACCTGAAGTACTCACGATCGGTAGAGAATACTTAGGCGAATTTATAGAAAAAATAGCGGGGAGGATTCCGAAGTTTGGGGAAATCATAACCCTAGAGTTTTCCAATCTTAGCTACAATATTTGCCCTGTTAGTTATAAATTTACATCATTTTAATTACTTTGCTCTTAGTTGGTAAACACTCAAGTCATTATTTAATATTTCTGAAGGTTGAATACTTGAATTCTTGAGAAATTAGTGGTTGTGTTTAGTAGGTTAATTCCCTGTGAGATTCGATTCCGGACTTATAAACCGAATTCTATTTACAACGACCGCTAAATCTCTTAGGAGGCATAGTTAGGCGTGATCACACATCAACTATAGACGCTAAGCAAATCAAGACCAAAACAATTTGATCCTAGCTCAAATAATAGTACAAGGTCCAAAAGCAACTCTTTTTTATTCGACATAACAAATTTACTAGGAGAACATCATATATAAGGTTTGTTTATATATATAATTTTTCATTTTTATTTTCTTTTCAAGCTTTCGCATCCTTTTTCAAGTTAAGTATATTTTTGACTTGAATGGAGTTGGATTGTTTGGCGGTAGGAATTTTCACTCCCAAGTCCCTTTTGTTTCTTCTTTTACTTTAACAAGACATTATAAGTGACCATGTTTATTGCTTAAGGCCAAGGTTGGTAATATTGTCTCACAAATATAATGCTTTTAAGCAGTTTAGAATGTTCAACGATCAACTTTTAAGTAAATGAACATCTATAACTCTATCATTCGAAGATCATAGGATCAAATTAAAATCTTAAAAGTAGAACTCGCAATAATTTTAACATTCCAGAACACATAAATCCCTTTATGCCTTGTACGTACATATATTTTACAAACACCAAAGGGGAAACAAATATGAGAACACGGTAAATGAACAAAAACAATTCAAGAAGAATTGGCCCACACGCTTATTACATATCCATTCCTTCCCGTGGCATTGTTTTTCTTTAATTTGGAAGGAGATAATGCCAAAAACAGTGCTAATCTGTACTTGAAGCCTCAAGCTTGAGAAGTCATCTAATGGAGGAAGCTTCTAGAGAAAAAAAGAAGAGAGCATTTTCAGGTAACAAATGAATGCTTCTATTCATTAGAGACTGTGCAGGTGGTTATATACAGAACTCCACTAACCAACTCACTAATTAACTTAACCAATAGAGCTCTGCCACATCACCCTTACTATCTACTGCTAACCAACTGCATTAATGAACAGATTAACAGTACAAATACAAACTAACAAGCTAACAATATAAGTCATAATACTCCCCCTTAAGCTAATGGGTGCAAGATGTTCAACGCACCAAGCTTGCCTAGAAGATACAGATGCTGAGCTTGACGCAACCCTTTTGTGAGCAAGTCAGCTAATTGATCTCGCGTATTCACATAGATACTGTTGACAACACCATCTTTGATCTTATCTCGAATGAAGTGACAATCAATTTCTATATGTTTCGTACGCTCATGGAAGATGGGATTAACTGCTATTTGCATATCAGAATTGCTATCACTGAAGATTGCAATAGGGGCCTTAATGGTCACTCCTAGCTCTTTGAACAAACCTAGCAACCAAGTCACTTCCGCTACTTGGACTTCCAAGATTTGAGTTCCCCTAAATCTTTCAGCTTGAATTTCTAATGGAGCACCTACTTGGCTTCAATGATTAAGTCTGCATTACTACCTGTAATGAGCAGATCATCTACATACACTAAAATAACCACTATATCACCCTTCTTCTTCAAGGTGAATAAGGAATAGTCATGACTACTCTGAGTAAATCCTACTTCAAGCAATGCCTCTGTCAACTTGATGTTCCATTGCCTAGAGGCTTGCTTAAGCCCATATAGGGACTTAAGTAACTTGCAAACCTTCTGCTCCCCATGTCTTCTAAAACCTTCAGGCAGTTTCATGTGCACTTCTTCACAAAGATCTCCTTGCAAGAAAGCATTATATACATCCATTTGGTACAAATACCAATCTCTGGAGACTGCTAGTGCTATCATAGACCTTATCGTGACCATCTTGGCCATAGAGGAGAAAGTGTCGTGATAGTCAAGACCCTCTTGCTAGCTATACCCCTTGGCAACCAGCCTAGCCTTGAATCTTTCAACTTCTCCATTGGCATGATATTTGATCTTATATACCAACTTAAAGCCCACAGTGTTCTTTCCTGCAGGTAGATTAATAACTTCCCAGGCGTGATTGTCCTCTAGAGCTTGGATTTTTTGTTGCATAGCTTGAATCCATCTAGTGTCTTTGACTGCTTGCCTGAACGTCTGTGGTTCCACCAAGTTGGAAAATTTGGACAAGTAACTGCAGTAAGTTGGAGTAACATTATTATAGGAGAGATAAGTTGCCGAAGGA